GATTCTCTTGTCCGTATGCATCTGTGCAGATAGGTTTTGCGGTTAAGCCATAGTCCCCACATACCGCTCGTATCAATGCGGATAAGAGGAGCGGTGACCCACTACTCTGTAGAGTAACATTGTTATACACGCTTGTTACAATATGAATAGCGCATTGAAAACGCGTACCATTTGATGTACTGTTTACAAAGTGTGTTTACAAATCCACACTGAGAAACACGATGATTGACGGAGGGGTGTAAATTATTTTACGATAGTGTATTTAAATAGAGGTACTGCCGGTAAGTAGTTTTCAGTTTTAAAGGCATTAACAGGACAACACTTGCCACCATCATTTAAACCCATTGGTGAAAAAGAGCAAAGTTATTGTTCACATTATTATATGTTTACATTATAATATATTGTTTACATTATAATATAATATCATGTTTATACAAGAGCTGGGGGCTCATGGCACCCCGGATAAAGTTCATATGTGGAGGCACATTCAATGAATCGGCTTCTGTTTGTCTGATTTAGGTTTGGCTGAAACCCAGATTCAAACCGAGTTCTTGGGCTCCGGTCAGACTCCGCTCAAAGCTGTGCAGGGTCCCAGCCATGGTCCAGGATCCCCGTGATCCAAGCCTGAACGGAGCCACGGCTGCTGAGCCGCTCACTCAACGCGTCTTTGCAAGCAGCTGAACGGCTCAACCCTGAGCCGAGACACCGCTGAGCCGCTCACTTAACGCGTCTTTTGGAAGCAGCTGAACGGCTTAAACTTGAGCCCAGTTGTGTTGGAAGGCGAGTCACCGCTGAGCCGCTCACTCAACGCGTCATTAGAAGCAGCTGAACGGCTCAACTTTGAGCCGAGCCTGAGCCGAGCCACTGCTAAGCTGCTCACTCAACACGTCTTTGGAAGCAGCTAAACGGTTCAAGGCTGAGCCGAGCCATGTTATAAGCCGAGCCACCGCTAAGCTGCTCACTAAACGCGTCTTGTGCAAGCAGTTGAACGGCTAAAACCTGAGTCGAGACACCGCTGAGCCGCTCATTCAATGCGTCTTTTGGAAGCAGCTGAACGGCTCAAGGCTGAGCAGAGCCGTTTTAGAAGCCGAGTCACCGCTGAGTCGCGACTCAACTGAGCCACTTTCAAATATAGTTTTTTTTAAATAAAGCCCAGTAAACAGGCAGTGATATCCATGAGAACGCGGACACGCACGGCGTGCTCGGAGCACCACGACTCAGCCGTGCTCTGCTCATAATAATAACCACTCTGTCTCTTTGTATCTCCAAGATCTTAAGATTTTTTTTTCTGTAATAAAGTTCACGACTTAAATAATAGGAGTTTCTTTATAAAAAAAATTGGGGGGAGGGGGGGTATTTGTGTGTAATGCGGTACGGCATTGATGGATGACTAAGCTGAAATATAACCCCGCGAGCGAAGAGAACGCTGCAGAGTGAACGCAAACGCCTCCCGTAAGGCCCGTCTCGTGGATAAAGGGCCTCCTGTGTGAGTGTGGCAGCGAATAGCATCGCGTCATCGTACTGGGAGCGTAGTCACGACCCTCAGCAGTGAAGGGTAATACCTGCACCAGTCCTGCCAGGCCCCTATTGAGCGACGTGGTGAAGTATGGTCAAACAACCCCTTCCCCATAAACCGAGGACTGTATCCTTTGAGTGGGTTGACAACGCGGCTAGACGTCGGGACGGGATGTCAACGACCTCGCCTCGTACGATACCTGGCCACAAATGGTGACTCGACAAAGTGGAGTATCATGTAGAAATGCATAGCGGCAAAATTATCTAACGTTTCGGGCAATGACCCTTCTTCCTGGCACGCGATATTCCACAACGTGGGGTCCCTTGTCCGATTCGCCGAGTCGTGGTGTGGACAGGAAGTGCGGATGTCGTAGAGTCGAACCAAGCCAGGGAAAGGAGAATCAGACACGGTGGCTAGGAGATGTTAACTTCCTCGCCTGGTATGCAGGAAGTCGTGGGTTCGATCTCGACCCTGACGCCTGCTGCTGCTGCTGTATATTTGGAGTTTGCGTGTCTCTCTCTCTCTCTGCCCGTGGTGGTCGTGGGTTTTTCTCCGGCTCCTCCGGGGATTTTTTTCCCCCTCCTACATTGAGCATCGACGTTACACGACCAGGGTATTTGGCTGCTCGAGATCTCCACGTGCTGATGGGGATGACGACGAGCCACCTCGTTGTGCTCTCATTTGCGACAGCCAGAGTCGATTCTTACAGAGAGCTCGATCGCATCTCAGTGGAGCCTGACCCGGTGAAATAGAAAGTTCAGAGCAGGGGGCGTAGCTCCCAATATCAATTGGGGGGGGGGGGGGGCTATGCGAGATCCGACTGGGGCCCCCCTTCTTTCTCCCGACTCACTTTTAACTGAAACAGCTAACGGATATGTTTAACACCGGATAGAATAATACGTTAGGCTAAAACTATATATATTATTTTATTTGAACCGCACATTGGGTATAGAGGAAGACAGTCTCGCAGCGACAGTGTTAAGAAACGAAAACTCAATTTAAGGGTACAATACATACAAATAAATTATCAATGCCTCTTGCTTTCATGCCGGCTCCATCGGTTTCGGATATCCTCCAGACAGTCTCGTCCCTTCACCTGATGAAGGCCGCTTGTGTTGTGGCCGAAACGTCGTGATTTTTTGTTATTTTATTTTCACCTACGTGACTTTACCCAATAGAACCAACGAGTATGGATCCTAGCAGTCACGAAAGCTTTAAATCTAGAAATTTCTACTGCTCGATTGTCATGGCGATATCCAGACGCGTTAATGGGGCCTGGTCCATGATAGACCACAGGTGATTTTTTTTAATGAAAAAATATTTTAAAAAAACATTTAAGGTGTTTATCTTTTCATTCTGGCCCCCCTTGTGACCGACTGGACCCCTATTGGCCGCACAACGCAGCCACAACCCCCCCCCCCCACCGCCCCCCACAGCTGCGCCCGTGCAAGTCGCCAGGGACAATACCTGCACCAGTCCTGCTGTCCCCCCTATCGATCGGCGCGGTGAAGTATGGTCAAGCAACACCCCGCCCCCTTTCTCAACCCACCCCTGTATCGTGGCTAGGAGATGTTAACTACCTCGCCTCGTACGCAGGAGGTCGTGGGTTCGATCACGACCCTGACGCCGAGCTGTATATTTGTAATGTGCGTTTGTTTCTCTCTCCCCATGGTGGTCTGGGGGATTTTTCTCCGGGTCCTCCGGTTTTTCCCCCCTCCGTTGAGAATCAACATCAGGCGTTTCGAGTATTTGGCTGCTTTACATTTGCACGTGATGAGCCCACTTCGTTGAGCTATCATTAGTGAAAAATAGCTATGAAGAAGCTCAGTGGACCTTACCTGGTTAAAAATATCCACGTGATAAGCTATCTTGTTGGGCGATCATTTGCGACGAGGTCGCTTCTGAAAAATAGCGACGTCGCTCTGTGGGGCCTTAGCGGGTAAAATAAAATGAAAATCGTTCATAGTAGTTCTGAGTGTTGTACCAGAGTCCAGACCGTCATTGTTGTTGCCATCTCTGCCCGAGGCCACTCAGCTCACAAGCTGAAAGATTCCACTTCAGTTCGGGGTTCGGTGTTTAACTCAGCGCATAATCACCATACACCCGTGGTTGATTTACTGAGCACCGCGTGGTGTGGGAAGTCTACGGCGGCCCTGCTAATGAATGTCCAGCGCTGTCATGGGAACGTGGAATTTAATGAATGACGATTGCTTATTAATGCTCATGTGATAGGGAGACAGTGGAGACACGCTTTAGTGACAGGGAGACACTGGAGACACGCTTTAGTGACAGGGAGACACTGGAGACACGCTTTAGTGACAGGGAGACACTGGAGACACGCTTTAGTGACAGGGAGACACTGGAGACACGATCTAGTGACAGGGAGTCAGTGGAGACACGCTTTAGTGACAGGGAGACACTGGAGACACGCTTTAGCGACAGGGAGACACTGGAAACACGCTTTAGTGACAGGGAGACACTGGAGACACGCTTTAGTGACAGGGAGACACTGGAGACACGATCTAGTGACAGGGAGTCAGTGGAGACACGATCTAGTGACAGGGAGTCAGTGGAGACACGATCTAGTGACAGGGAGACAGTGACAGGGAGACACTGGAGACACGCTTTAGTGACAGGGAGACACTGGAGACACGCTTTAGTGACAGGGAGACAGTGGAGACACGCTTTAGTGACAGGGAGACACTGGAGACACGATCTAGTGACAGGGAGACACTGGAGACACGATCTAGTGACAGGGAGACACTGGAGACACGATCAGGTGACAGGGAGACAGTGGAGACACGATCTAGTGACAGGGAGACACTGGAGACACGCTTTAGTGACAGGGAGACACTGGAGACACGATCAGGTGACAGGGAGACAGTGACAGGGAGACACTGGAGACACGATCTAGTGACAGGGAGACAGTGACAGGGAGACACTGGAGACACGATCTAGTGACAGGGAGACACTGGAGACACGCTTTAGTGACAGGGAGACACTGGAGACACGCTTTAGTGACAGGGAGACACTGGAGACACGATCTAGTGACAGGGAGACACTGACCATACACACGGATACCGTATTGCCACAGACAACAAGACGAAGTTGTTTTATTTAACAAAGTAAAAGTTGAACACGCGTCTTATAATGCGGTCTCTGTGCGGTGTGTAATAGACCGGACCTGTACTTGAATAACCTTATTGACACCGGGCATCTTATTTTCCGGAGCGTCTTATAATCGAAAGAATGCGGTAACATTCCAGCACACGCAGACACGCGCGCGCACACACTGCCAAAAAACAAGACCCGGCATTTTCCAGGACGTCTTATCTGGATGGTCAGCTCTCCAAAGCTGCGTTGAAGTGATAATAGAGACCGCTACCATCCCCCAATGTCTCCCACGGACTCGCCCATCTCTCTCCACTCTCTAACTCCCCCCTCCCCCCATCTCCTGCCACCTCCCCCTTGCACCACACTAAAGGATTCGCCACTACAACATTAAAGCCACAGAGACCGTGGAATACGGACTCGGGTTTGCTGCCGCTGATGAAGCTGACGCTGCTCGTGACTACTGCGATGGCACAGCAGAAGATGACCGTGCTGCTGACGACGACGACGATGATGATGATGCTGCTGATGGCGAGCAGCTTTGACGAAGCTGCAGCCGATGGGACCAGCAGTAGCCCAGGCCTGGAGGTTCACATCACTCCGCAGGGACTCCAATACGGTGGGTCCGGTCGGCTTCGCTCACACCGCACGGTCCAGCGGTCGCTTGCGTGAAGCCAAGGTGGCTTGATGACCTCCGCGGGCCACGGTGGCGAGATAATAAAGACCTCGCCTGGTGTCCAGAAGGTCGTGGGGTCGATGCCGACCCTGACGCCTGCTGCTGTATTTGGGGGTTTAGTCTCTCGCACACTGTGGTGGTCACGTGGATTTTTTTCCCCCCTTCACATTGAGAATCAATGTGCGTTTTGTTATTTTTGGTTCTTTCGGTAAAGTCGCGTAGAATGGAAATAAAATAATAAAAAGAAAACATACTAAAATAAAATTTATAAGGCGATATATAGTATCGTAATTGTATAGTGAATATACAGCAGTGTGGTATATAGTAGGGTTGATAGACTAAGACAGTGTAATGTTACAAGTCTAATACTTTATAGTCTAAAGTATAGGGTAGTGTATAGTAACGCATTGTATAATTCAAAGGTGGAATTTTGTCTATGGATATGATATTATAGCACGTAGTTTAGATTGGAAGGTATAATATTGTACTGTATTGTAGTCCAGTTTATAGCAGAGTTACAACGCAACACAGGACAGAGCAGAGCACCTTGGCCCAGCCGCCACCCTCCTCCGATCCGGTGGTGGTGCTGGGTGACACGCTCATTCATATGTTAATACCGCCCAGACAGCATAAAAGACGCGACCCATGCTTAACAATGTTCACTCAAGCGCCGTCTTCTGGGCAGTCCTGTTCATTCACCCGAAGAAGGCTACTTGTGTTGTGGCCGAAACGTCGCAAGAATTTTATTGTATTATGTTTTATTTTTGTTATTGTATTTCCATTCTACGTGGTGACTTTGCCGAAAGAACCAAGAAGATGAATCCCTGCAGTCACGAAAGCTTTAAATCGAAATGTGCGTTTTGTATCGTTTGTGGACAGGACGCTATATAGCTCAATGGGCCTTCCCTGCTAAAGCAAACCAATGTTTCGTTTAATAGTTTTTTGTTTAAGATGCACAGCAGAGAGAGAAGGGGGAACGCGCTGGGTAGGAAGCGGAGGAAGAGGGGGAGAAGGAACGACCGGACCCAGATGTCTGAGATGATAAGAGGGTGATGATGATAAGGTGATGATGAGTGGGTGATGATGATGAGAGGGTGATGATGATGATAGGGGGTGGAAGAGGGGGAGAAGAGAGAAGGAAAGAGCGAGTGGGAGTGAGACGCACAAAGGAGGCGTGGAGGGCTCGAGGTGGCTTGGATTTAGCGATGTGGACCGTGACATCGGCACGCACGGTTAATGCCCCTCCGATTATCACGGTTAGCTAAGTACGGTGCGAAAGAAGTTCAACATACATACCCACATATAATGTACGTACATTCCACCCGCTGTGTTAGCCAAAGGCATGGACACCTGCCAACTACCTTTCCTGGTATACAGGAGGTCGTGGGCTCGATCCCCACTCTTCACGCCTGCTGCTGCTGTATATTTGGAGTTTGCGTCTTTCTCTCTCCCCGTGGTCGCGTGGATTTTTCTCTGGGTCCTCCGGTTTTTCCCTCCACATTTAGAAACATTCAATTAGATAATTTTGATGATATACTTTTCCACGGGATAAGCAACTTCGTTGAGCCCTCATTTGTGGCCAGGTCGCTTCTGAAATCGAGCTACATAGATCAGCGGGGTCTTACCTGCTAACATTAAAACGTTATATTGTTCTCAAAAGCCAATGGGCTGATGGTCTCACTATTTGTGTTTGTGACGAGTTGAGGAATCGTTGGTTCTGTGCAGAGGAAACTAAAAGGACAGCTGACACGTCAGCGCTCGACTCACAACCCTCGTGGAGTATAATCCGCTTGTTTTAACGTAACAATATAATGCCAAGATGACATGAATTGTCAGGGGTTTGTCGTTGTCGTTATATTTGATCGCATTTAAGGACATATTCTGGCGAAATCATTACCCGAATAGGAGCAGGCGCTTGAAAGGTTATAGCGATTTTTTTATTATCCGCGTGAGTCTCCTGTGCATTACTCCCACCTAGTCAGTGTCGCTGTCAATTATCAATATGACTGTAGAGTCTACCTGGGGTGTGAGTGGACTAGTGGCCATGGGAGGTAATGACAGGGGAGTCAGCCTACAGTGCGAAGGGACGAGTGGCCACGGGAGGTTAATGACAGGGGAGTCAGCCTACGGTGCGAAGGGACGAGTGGCCACGGGAGGTTAATGACAGGGGTGTCAGCTGTGAGTACGAAGGGACGAGTGGCCACGGTAGGTTAATGACAGGGGAGTCAGCCTACAGTGCGAAGGGACGAGTGGCCACGGGAGGTTAATGACAGGGGTGTCAGCTGTGAATACGAAGGGACTGGTGGCTGCGGGAATGATCGAGAAGGGAGCCTGGTCAGGTGACGGAAGAGGACGGTAGAGTCTTCCAGTGGAGCGAGCGTCCAGAGTCAGCAAGAAGGTTCGGGAAGAGGGGCGTGGCCTCGGTCCGCATATAAGGGGGAGATGTGCGAGACACTCGGGGCTGTTGCAGTGGGGTCTCCGCCTGGTCACGTGTCTTCAATAAAGAAACCATCTCAAGAAAAGTGTGTCTAGTTGTCCTTACATTATGGAATAAAATCCGGACGTCTTCCGCCGTTACACTCCAATTATTATTTTCACACGGATAATCCCGTGTAGCCAGGTACCCAGCTATATAGTTTCGGTGGCACTGGCCAACACCAGCCCACTTTCCGCAGAGTTTACTGTTGGTGTTCGGAGGAGCGTAGTCAGCAGCCAGCCAGGCAGCTCCAGGCATAGGTAATGCTTCAGAGTAGGATCACGTGGAGACAGAACAAGAGTTATGCATGCTTCGTGTTTACCAATGATTTATCATCATCAGCTGCATCATTCATCATCAGCCTACAGGGTGGCTACATTGGCAGGGGATTTGTCAACAAAACGGGGCTTAACGTACGCGGCGAGGAGGCCAATTCCTTCGAGTGCTCCCAAGTAGGAATTTCAAATTTCTTTTGGCCAGAAGCAGCCAAAACCCCACAGCAGGCGAGCCAACATCGAACACAAAAGGGGCCCTCGCAGTGGCATCAGCAGTGGCCGAGATCCGGGCGGTGTTGCCGGTCCGGTAAAGAGCAGGGTTCGAGTGTGATATCCGCACGTGTCTCTAGCCCAGTGGTTCTTCTTGACCTGGAGGTGCGAGATGCCCTTTCTAGGGGGTGCGAGACATGGCCAGATTTTCTTTTTTTAAGGTCAAGCATCGAAAACACAAATTAAGCACGGGCACGTAACTACACCTTACTGTATTTCCTCAAACCCTGTGTAGTTATTAACAGTGTACAATTGTTGTGCGATTGAGTACCAAAGTGATGTAAGGCTGCACTGAAGAATCACAGCTCTCATACCCGGTTAGTGCGAGCAGTGAAGGTGAAGAATCACAGCTCTCATACCCGGTTAGTGCGAGCCACGGAGCTGCTCGTGGTCCACGCTGAACTGCATCCGCTGCACAAACCATGGCAGCAGTAGATGCGGAATTGCCGATGCACAAATGTAAATGTAAAATCTGTCCAATAGCATTGGTGCGACTGTGGTCATCCAGAACAGACGCCGTACGGCGTGAGCAACGACGCGATGCCCCGGTCCACAAATACTTAGGAGAAAATCGCAGCAATGATGACGGAACGCCACTCCGCTGCTCCTGACGAGGCTGTCTGGCTTCACACCGCCTGAATGTGAAATCGTAGTCTTTGCTCTGCACCAACATCAGCCGCCGTACGATAGAAGAAGATATCATTGTGGATAAATTGTGTTGTGTTATTGAGTGTCGCGGGCACGTCACTCCACGCGTGTGCGTCTCCTTCCTCGCGGGCGTGTTCGTGGGACCTTGTTTTTGATGAGAGTGCGGCTTGAGCTGCTTGGAGGGACGGATTTATCTCTGCGGCCGTCTGGAACGCTCTTCCTTCCGATATTCGGAAGCCACTGGAGCTGCGCGCCTTTGAATCATCCAGAGAGAAAACTCACTTGTTTAGAGCGGCGTTTTCTGTTCACTTCCTTCATCTTTCTCCGTGCACCTCCGACGGCCACGCAGAAGTTCAACAGACACATGCACATCTCGTTTGCTGGCCCTTTTGAATTGGGCAGGCATCGTGTGGCAACCGATCGTGTGAGGTGAAGTCACGTGACGTGTGAAGTGAAGTCACGGGTCATGTGAAGTGAAGTCACGTGACGTGTGAGGTGAAGTCACGTGACGTGTGAGGTGAAGTCACGTGACGTGTGAGGTGAAGTCACGGGTCATGTGAAGTGAAGTCACGTGACGTGTGAGGTGAAGTCACGTGACGTGTGGGGTGAAGTCACGTGACGTGTGAGGTGAAGTCACGTGGCGTGTGAGGTGAAGTCACGGGTCATGTGAAGTGAAGTCACGTGACGTGTGAGGTGAAGTCACGTGACGTGTGGGGTGAAGTCACGTGACGTGTGAGGTGAAGTCACGTGGCGTGTGAGGTGAAGTCACGGATCATGTGAAGTGAAGTCACGTGACGTGTGAGGTGAAGTCACGTGACGTGTGAGGTGAAGTCATGGGTTATGTGAGGTGAAGTCACGTGACGTGTGAGGTGAAGTGACGTGGCGTGTGAAGTTCAGGGGTTATGTGAGGTGAAGTCACGTGACGTGTGAGGTGAAGTCACGGGTCATGTGAAGTGAAGTCACGTGACGTGTGAGGTGAAGTCACGTGACGTGTGAGGTGAAGTCACGTGACGTGTGAGGTGAAGTCACGGGTCATGTGAAGTGAAGTCACGTGACGTGTGAGGTGAAGTCACGTGACGTGTGAGGTGAAGCCATGGGTCATGTGAAATGAAGTCACGTGACGTGTGAGGTGAAGTCACGGGTCATGTGAAGTGAAGTCACGTGACGTGTGAAGTGAAGTTCACGGGTCATGTGAAGTGAAGTTCAGGGGTCATGTGAGGTGAAGTCACGTGACGTGTGAGGTGAAGTCACGTGACGTGTGAGGTGAAGTCACGTGACGTGTGAAGTGAAGTTCAGGGGTCATGTGAGGTGAAGTCACGTGACGTGTGAGGTGAAGTCACGTGACGTGTGAAGTGAAGTTCACGGGTCATGTGAAGTGAAGTCACGTGACGTGTGAAGTGAAGTTCAGGGGTCATGTGCCTCCACACCGATGATAACAATCACAACGATTGCCAGTGACGGACCGAGACAACGAAAAAATCGGCCCGGGCATTTGTAAACACACGGAGGCCCCACGTTGGCAATTATATTCCACTAAATTTGTAACAAATCATTTTTGTTTAAACGTGTTTGTCGCGCGCCAAGCTGCACAGCACAGCAGTCGTGGCGAGACGTCGCGATGTGGCCACGTGCTCGCGTGGAACTCTGACGCGCCATCCTCATCGGGCCCCATTTGACGGCCGGCCGAGGAGGAATCTTCGTCGGGCTGCCGAATCCGAGCGGGGACTTGTCGCCCACCGAGAGCGACAATGCGCAAACGAAGCGTACGCATTCGCTCGCAAGAGAATATTTTAACGTTTGTGTGTGCGTGTGTGCGCGCGTGTGTTTCGTGACGCTGATCACATTCGCAAACAAAAACATAAATTCGCACAGATCCGCCCTTCGGCCTGACGACGACGATGTTTGTTGTTGTTGTTGACGATGTTGTTGTTGTTGACGATGTTGTTGTTTGTTGTTGTTGTTTGCGGTGTCTGCGCGCGCTGCCGCAGCGCTGAAGGTTGGACGCCAGCTGCTGGAGAAACGCGTCAAGGACTTATCTGTGGCTCCCATCTCTGGCTCCACGGGCCTGGCCGTCGGCAAGGTCATTTACGTCATCTCGGGGTGAGAGGGGGCCCACTCGGCATTACTGTGTCGTCATCAGCAGCAGTGACATGATCAGCAGTAGCAACATTATCATCATCAGCAGTATCAGCATTATTAGCAGCAGTATCATCATCAGCAGCATCAGCAGCAGCAACATCAGCAGCAGCATCAGCAACATCATCAGCAGCAGCATCATCATCAGCAGCAGCATGATCAGCAGTAGCAACATCATCATCAGCAGCAGCATCAGCAGCAACATCAGCAGTATCAGCATTATTAGCAGCAGCATCATCAGCAGCATCATCATCAGCAGCAGTGGCAGCATCATCAGCAGCAGTAGCAACATCATTAGCAGCAGCATCACCAGCAGTATCAGCATTATTAGCAGCAGTATAATCAGCAGCAGCAGTAGCAGCAGCATCACCAGCAGTATCAGCATTATTAGCAGCAGTATCATCATCAGCAGCATAATCATCAGCAGCATCATCAGCAGCAGCAGTAGCAACACCATTAGCAGCAGCATCACCAGCAGTATCAGCATTATTAGCAGCAGTATCATCATCAGCAGCATCATCAGCAGCAGCAGTAGCAACATCATTAGCAGTAGCATCACCAGCAGTATCAGCATTATTAGCAGCAGTATCATCATCAGCAGCATCATCATCAGCAGCAGTGGCAGCATAATCATCAGCAGCAGTAGCAACATCATCATCAGCAGCAGCATCAGCAGCAACATCAGCAGTATCAGCATTATTAGCAGCAGCATCATCAGCAGCATCATCAGCAGCAGCAGTGGCAGCATCATCATCAGCAGCAGTAGCAACATCATTAGCAGCAGCATCACCAGCAGTATCAGCATTCTTAGCAGCAGTATCATCAGCAGCAGCATCATCATCAGCAGCAGTAGCAACATCATTAGCAGTAGCATCACCAGCAGTATCAGCATTATTAGCAGCAGTATCATCAGCAGCAGCATCATCATCAGCAGCAGTGGCAAGATCATCAGCAGCAGCAGTAGCAACATCATTAGCAGCATCATCAGCAGTATCAGCATCATCAGCAGTATCAGCATCATCAGCAGCAGCATCATCAGCAGCAGCAGTAGCAACATCATTAGCAGCAGCAGCATCAGCATTATTAGCATTATTAGCAGCAGTATCATCATCAGCAGCATCATCAGCAGCAGCAGTAGCAACATCATTAGCAGCAGCATCATCAGCAGTATCAGCATTATTAGCAGCAGTATCATCATCAGCAGCATCATCATCATCAGCAGCAGTAGCAACATCATTAGCAGCATCAGCAGTATCAGCATCATCAGCAGTATCAGCATCATCATCATCAGCAGCATCATCATCAGCAGCAGTAGCAACATCACTAGCAGCATCATCAGCAGTATCAGCATCATCATCAGCAGTATCAGCATCATCAGCAGCAGCAGTAGCAACATCATTAGCAGCAGCATCATCAGCAGTATCATCAGCAGCAGCATCATCAGCAGCAGTGGCAACATCATTAGCAGCATTATCATCAGCAGTATCATCATCAGCAGCAGTATCATCATCAGCAGTATCATCAGCAGCAGCATCATCAGCAGCAGTAGCAACATCATTAGCAGCGGCATCATCAGCAGTTTCAGCATCATCAGCAGCAGCAGTGGCAGCATCATCAGCAGCAGCAGTAGCAACATCATCAGCAGCATCATCAGCAGTATCAGCATCATCAGCAGTATCAGCATCATCAGCAGTATCAGCATCAGCAGCATCATCAGCAGCAGTGGCAGCATCATCAGCAGCAGTAGCAACATCATTAGCAGCAGCATCATCAGCAGTATCAGCATTATTAGCAGCAGTATCATCATCAGCAGCATCATCATCAGCAGCATCATCATCTGCAGCAGTAGCAACATCATTAGCAGCAGCATCATCAGCAGTATCAGCATTATTAGCAGCAGTATCATCATCAGCAGCAGTGGCAGCATCTTCAGCAGTATTATCAGCAGTGTCATCATCAGCAGTATCATCATCAGCAGTATCATCATTATCATCAGCAGCAGCATCATCAGCAGCAGTGGCAGCATCATCATCAGCAGCAGCAGTAGCAACATCATTAGCAGCAGCATAATCAGCAGCATCATCAGCAGTATCAGCATCATCAGCAGTATCATCAGCAGTATCAGCATCATCAGCATCATCATCAGCAGTATCAGCATCATCAGCAGTATCATCAGCAGTGTCATCATCATCAGCATCATCATCATCAGCATCATCATCATCAGCATCATCATCATCAGCATCATCATCAGCATCATCATCAGCAGTATCATCATCAGCATCATCATCATCAGCAGTATCATCATCAGCAGTATCATCATCAGCAGCAGCATCATTAGCAGCAGCAGTATCAGCATCATCAGCAGCATCATCATCAGCAGCAACATCATTAGCAGCAGCAGTATCAGCATCATCATCAGCATCATCATCAGCAGTGTCATCATAAGCAGTGTCATCATCAGCAGTATCAGCATCATCAGCAGTGTCATCATCAGCAGTATCAGCATCATCAGCAGTGTCATCATCAGCAGTGCCATCATCAGCAGCATCATCAGCATCATCATCATCAGCAGTATCAGCATCATCATCAGCATCATCATCATAAGCATCATCATCAGCAGTGGCAGGCATGGTCAACCCACTGCTGGGTGCAGCCCTCCCCAAGGCGCCAACGCCTCTCACGGCGCCTGGCTGTAGCGGCCACCCCCCCCCCCCCCCCGCGTCTCCCCCTCGTGCCACTTTGCCGCCGCTCCAAAGACAAAGGTCCCCCGTATAGCCTTTAACAGACTGTGGGGACAAGTGTCGCTAGCGAGTGGCACCTATAAAGGCCGGCACGGCACACGAGGGGGTGGGTGGCCAGCACCACGCCCGGCCGCCTTTGTCTCCCCAGTGGCGATGTTTACTACACACCGCACCAGTTACAAATTTTGAGGCTGAGTCGACCTAGGGGAGGCCCAGGACCGGTGCAGATAATTTATCGTCACTGATGGTGTTGGCCGTGAGCGGGAAGCTAACCGCTACACTACCGCTCAGCACACACACGCAGTCATACACACACACAGTCATACACAACAACACTACCGCCACCGCACCCTGCACACAAAGCTAAAGACCCCCCCAATAGAGCCTCAACTGACTATTGGGGCAAGTGGTGTTAGCGAGCGCCTGTGAAGGCCCGCACGGCACACGATGCCTGCTGTAGATGTCACGTGGTGGTGGTGTCTATGTCACGTGTTGGTGGTGGTGTCTATGTCACGTTGTGGTGGTGTCTTTGTTACGTGTTGGTGGTGGTGTCTATGTCACGTGTTGGTGGTGGTGTCTATGTCACGTGTTGGTGGTGGTGTCTATGTCACGTGGTAGTGGTGGTGTCTTTGTTACGTGTTGGTGGTGGTGTCTATGTCACGTGTTGTGGTGGTGGTGTCTATGTCACGTGGTAGTGGTGGTGGTGTCTATGCCACGTGTTGGTGGTGGTGTCTATGTCACGTGTTGGTGGTGGTGTCTATGTCACGTGTTGGTGGTGGTGATGTCTATGTCACGTGTTGGTGGTGGTGTCTATGTCACGTGTTGGTGGTGGTGTCTATGTCACGTGTTGGTGGTGGTGTCTATGTCACGTGTTGGTGGTGGTGTCTATGTCACGTGTTGGTGGTGGTGTCTATGTTACGTGGTGGTGGTGTCTATGTCACGTGGTGGTGTCTGTTACGTGGTGGTGGTGGTGGTGTCTATGTCACGTGTTGGTGGTGGTGTCTATGTCACGTGTTGGTGGTGGTGTCTATGTTACGTGGTGGTGGTGTCTATGTCACGTGGTGGTGGTGTCTATGTCACGTGGTAGTGGTGGTGTCTATGTCACGTGTTGTGGTGGTGGTGTCTATGTCACGTGATGGTGGTGGTGTCTATGTCACGTGGTAGTGGTGGTGTCTATGTCACGTGGTAGTGGTGGTGTCTATGTCACGTGTTGGTGGTGGTGTCTATGTCACGTGTTGGTGGTGGTGTCTATGCCACGTGTTGGTGGTGGTGTCTATGTCACGTGTTGGTGGTGGTGTCTATGTTACGTGTTGGTGGTGGTGTCTATGTCACGTGTTGGTGGTGGTGTCTATGTCACGTGGTAGTGGTGGTGTCTATGTCACGTGTTGGTGGTGGTGTCTATGTCACGTGGTAGTGGTGGTGTCTATGTTACGTGTTGGTGGTGGTGTCTATGTCACGTGTTGGTGGTGGTGTCTATGTCACGTGGTAGTGGTGGTGTCTATGTCACGTGGTAGTGGTGGTGTCTATGTCACGTGTTGGTGGTGGTATCTATGTCACGTGGTAGTGGTGGTGTCTATGTCACGTGTTGGTGGTGGTGTCTATGTCACGTGTTGGTGGTGGTGTCTATGTCACGTGTTGGTGGTGGTGTCTATGTCACGTGGTAGTGGTGGTGTCTATGTCACGTGTTGGTGGTGATGTCTATGTTACGTGTTGGTGGTGGTGTCTATGTCACGTGTTGGTGGTGGTGTCTATGTCACGTGGTAGTGGTGGTGTCTATGTCACGTGGTAGTGGTGGTGTCTATGTCACGTGGTAGTGGTGGTGTCTATGTCACGTGTTGGTGGTGATGTCTATGTCACGTGTTGGTGGTGATGTCTATGTCACGTGTTGGTGGTGGTGTCTATGTCACGTGTTGGTGGTGGTGTCTGTCACGTGGTAGTGGTGGTGTCTATGTCACGTGGTAGTGGTGGTGTCTATGTCACGTGTTGGTGGTGGTGTCTCTCTCTCTGTGGCCACGTGGATTGTCTTCCGGGCCCTCCGGGTTTTCCCTGCACATTTAGAATCAACGTGCGCTCAGATTATTTGGCTGCTACAACTTCCCACGCGATGATAAGCCACTTCGTTGAGCTTTTGTCATTCGTGACAAAAATAACGTTTAAATATGTTGAGTTTAGCTCGCCCCCTCAAAGCTGCCGGGCGGATCTAGAGCATCTGGCAGGAGGAAGGAAGCGATGGCGAGGCGTGGTGACCCCCCCCGCCACCTCCCCTCGCCGTGTGCCCAGGTTGGCAGTGGTGGACATGAAGGTGCCGGCTGCCCGAGCCTCCATGCTGCCCCGCGTGGGGGTCCAACTGCAGTTCGGCCGCGTGTACGCTCGCGTGCGCGGGGACTGGATCGCCACGCACAAGATCGCGTAAGGGCGCTCGTGTGTGTGTGTGGCCGTCAACCTCGTGCGTGTGTGTGTGGCCGTCAACCTCGTGCGTGTGTGTGTGTGAACCACGTGTGTGTGTGTGAACCACGTGTGTGTGTGAACCACGTGTGTGTGTGAACCACGTGTGTGTGTGTGGCCGTCAACCTCGTGCGTGTGTGTGTGGCCGTCAACCTCGTGCGTGTGTGTGTGTGAACCACGTGTGTGTGTGTGAACCACGTGTGTGTGTGAACCACGTGTGTGTGTAAACCACGTGTGTGTGTCTGAACCACGTGTGTGTGTGTGTGCCTTGACCACGTGTGTGTGTGTCTGAATCACGTGTGTGTGTCTGAACCACGTGTGTGTGTGTGCCTTGACCACGTGTGTGTGTGTCTGAACCACGTGTGTGTGTGTGTGCCTTGACCACGTGTGTGTCTGAATCGAGTGTGTGTGTCTGAACCACGTGTGTGTGTGTGCTGACTGGATGTTTTTCCCACTGCATGGGACTCTGTAAGAGACCGGTCCCGGTTCAAGTTGATTTTGCGCAGCCAGGTTGAGAAGTCTAGAGACCAGGGTGGGAGTCTCATCTGCAATATTCAACACAGCACAGGAGCTGGTGCTGTTGCTGCTGCTACATTGCGAATGGTGCACAAACAACAACAACAGCAAACAAGAACAGAAAAGCAAGACATTCATCAACAAGCGTGGCTTCAACAATCAAACAATAGGCGACGTTTCGGGCAACGGACCTTCCACATTGCAAGATACCATAGTTGATGAAAGTCTCAGAGGGGAGGGGGGCCATATTGCCCACGAGCCCCTCACTGCTGCTGAGACGTCGAAAACCGGTCCAGAGATTTGCCTGCATTGATCCGACGTTGCTGATGGGCCGAGCGCTCGCCGAAGGGCTAGCCGCTGACGGGATGTGTGAAGTAGGAAAACACGTTGCAGTAAGTCGACATTTAGCACGGCAGATGCACTGCTGGGGGGGAAAAACCGCGAGAAGCGAAAAGTGTTTCTCCATAGCTAAGGTCACGACACAGTTCGGGGGGATACGGCGTGCTCCACTGCTACTACTCTGTGCTCCACTGCTACTACTCCGTGCTCCACTGCTACTACTCTGTGCTCCACTGCTACTACTCTGTGCTCCACTGCTACTACTCCGTGCTCCACTGCTACTACTCTGTGCTCCACTGCTGCTACTCCGTGCTCCACTGCTGCTACTCTGTGCTCCACTGCTACAACTCCGTGCTCCACTGCTACTACTCTGTGCTCCACTGCTACTACTCTGTGCTCCACTGCTGCTACTCTGTGCTCCACTGCTACTACTCTGTGCTCCACTGCTACTACTCTGTGCTCCACTGCTGCTACTCTGTGCTCCACTGCTACTACTCTGTGCTCCACTGCTACTACTCTGTGCTCCACTGCTACTACTCTGTGCTCCACTGCTGCTACTCTGTGCTCCACTGCTACTACTCTGTGCTCCACTGCTACTACTCTGTGCTCCACTGCTACAACTCCGTGCTCCACTGCTACTACTCTGTGCTCCACTGCTGCTACTCTGTGCTCCACTGCTACTACTCTGTGCTCCACTGCTGCTACTCCGTGCTCCACTGCTGCTACTCTGTGCTCCACTGCTACTACTCTGTGCTCCACTGCTACTACTCTGTGCTCCACTGCTGCTACTCTGTGCTCCACTGCTACTACTCTGTGCTCCACTGCTACTACTCTGTGCTCCACTGCTACTACTCTGTGCTCCACTGCTACTACTCTGTGCTCCACTGCTACTACTCTGTGCTCCACTGCTACAACTCCGTGCTCCACTGCTACTACTCTGTGCTCCACTGCTGCTACTCTGTGCTCCACTGCTACTACTCTGTGCTCCACTGCTACTACTCTGTGCTCCACTGCTACAACTCCGTGCTCCACTGCTACTACTCTGTGCTCCACTGCTGCTACTCTGTGCGCCACTGCTACTACTCTGTGCTCCACTGCTGCTACTCCGTGCTCCACTGCTACTACTCTGTGCTCCACTGCTACTACTCTGTGCTCCACTGCTACTACTCTGTGCTCCACTGCTACAACTCCGTGCTCCACTGCTACTACTCTGTGCTCCACTGCTGCTACTCTGTGCTCCACTGCTACTACTCTGTGCTCCACTGCTGCTACTCTGTGCGCCACTGCTACTACTCTGTGCTCCACTGCTACAACTCCGTGCTCCACTGCTACTACTCTGTGCTCCACTGCTGCTACTCTGTGCTCCACTGCTACTACTCTGTGCTCCACTGCTGCTACTCTGTGCTCCACTGCTACTACTCTGTGCTCCACTGCTGCTACTCCGTGCTCCACTGCTACTACTCTGTGCTCCACTGCTACTACTCTGTGCTCCACTGCTGCTACTCTGTGCTCCACTGCTACTACTCTGTGCTCCACTGCTGCTACTCCGTGCTCCACTGTTACTACTCTGTGCTCCACTGCTACAACTCCGTGCTCCACTACTACTACTCTGTGCTCCACTGCTACTACTCTGTGCTCCACTGCTACAACTCCGTGCTCCACTACTACTACTCTGTGCTCCACTGCTGCTACTCCGTGCTCCACTGCTGCTACTCCGTGCTCCACTGCTACTACTCTGTGCTCCACTGCTACTACTCTGTGCTCCACTGCTGCTACTCCGTGCTCCACTGTTACTACTCTGTGCTCCACTGCTACTACTCTGTGCTCCACTGCTACTACTCTGTGCTCCACTGCTACTACTCCGCACGCACCGTGAGGTGTATCACCACAGTTAGTGTATCACCACAGTGTATCACCACAGTTAGTGTATCACCACAGTGTATCACCACAGTTAGTGTATCACCACAGTTAGTGTGTCACCACAGCTAGTGTATCACCACAGTTAGTGTATCACCACAGTTAGTGTATCACCACAGTTAGTGTATCACCACAGTTAGTGTGTCACCACAGCTAGTGTATCACCACAGTGTATCACCACAGTTAGTGTATCACCACAGTGTATCACCACAGTGTATCACCACAGTTAGTGTATCACCACAGTTAGTGTATCACCACAGTTAGTGTATCACCACAGTTAGTGTATCACCACAGTTAGTGTATCACCACAGTTAGTGTATCACCACAGTGTATCACCACAGTTAGTGTATCACCACAGTTAGTGTATCACCACAGTTAGTGTATCACCACAGTGTATCACCACAGTTAGTGTATCACCACAGTTAGTGTATCACCACAGTTAGTGTGTAACCACAGCTAGTGTATCACCACAGTTAGTGTATCACCACAGCTAGTGTATCACCACAGTTAGTGTGTAACCACAGCTAGTGTATCACCACAGTTAGTGTATCACCACAGTTAGTGTATCACCACAGTGTATCACCACAGTTAGTGTATCACCACAGTTAGTGTATCACCACAGTTAGTGTGTAACCACAGCTAGTGTATCACCACAGTTAGTGTATCACCACAGTTAGTGTATCACCACAGTTAGTGTATCACCACAGTTAGTGTATCACCACAGTTAGTGTATCACCACAGTTAGTGTATCACCACAGTTAGTGTATCACCACAGTTAGTGTATCACCACAGTTAGTGTATCACCACAGCTAGTGTATCACCACAGTTAGTGTGTAACCACAGCTAGTGTATCACCACAGTTAGTGTATCACCACAGCTAGTGTATCACCACAGTTAGTGTATCACCACAGCTAGTGTATCACCACAGCTAGTGTATCACCACAGTGTATCACCACAGTTAGTGTATCACCACAGTTAGTATATAACCACAGTTAGTGTATCACCACAGTTAGTGTGTAACCACAGCTAGTGTATCACCACAGTTAGTGTATCACCACAGTTAGTGTGTAACCACAGTTAGTGTATCACCACAGTTAGTGTATCACCACAGTTAGTGTGTAACCACAGCTAGTGTATCACCACAGCTAGTGTATCACCACAGTTAGTGTATCACCACAGTTAGTGTATCACCACAGTTAGTGTATCACCACAGTTAGTGTATCACCACAGTGTATCACCACAGTTAGTGTATCACCACAGTGTATCACCACAGTGTATCACCACAGTGTATCACCACAGTTAGTGTATCACCACAGTGTATCACCACAGTTAGTGTATCACCACAGTGTATCACCACAGTTAGTGTATCACCACAGTGTATCACCACAGTTAGTGTATCACCACAGTGTATCACCACAGTTAGTGTATCACCATAGTGTATCACCACAGTTAGTGTATCACCACAGTTAGTGTATCACCACAGTTAGTGTATCACCACAGCTAGTGTATCACCACAGTTAGTGTATCACCACAGTTAGTGTATCACCACAGTTAGTGTATCACCACAGTTAGTGTATCACCACAGTGTATCACCACAGTTAGTGTATCACCACAGTTAGTGTATCACCACAGTGTATCAACACAGTTAGTGTATCACCACAGCTAGTGTATCACCACAGTTAGTGTATCACCACAGTTAGTGTATCACCACAGTGTATCACCACAGTGTATCACCACAGTTAGTGTGTCACCACAGTTAGTGTGTCACCACAGTTAGTGTGTCACCACAGTTAGTGTATCACCACAGTTAGTGTATCACCACAGTTAGTGTATCACCACAGTGTATCACCACAGTTAGTGTATCACCACAGTGTATCACCACAGCTAGTGTATCACCACAGTTAGTGTATCACCACAGTTTATCACCACAGTGTATCACCACAGTTAGTGTATCACCACAGTGTATCACCACAGTTAGTGTATCACCACAGTGTATCACCACAGTTAGTGTATCACCACAGTCTATCACCACAGTGTATCACCACAGTGTATCACCACAGGTAGTGTATCACCACAGTGTATCACCACAGTTAGTGTATCACCACAGTGTATCACCACAGTTAGTGTATCACCACAGTGTATCACCACAGTTAGTGTATCACCACAGTTAGTGTGTAACCACAGCTAGTGTA